TTTCAGATCATTAGAAACAATGTGGATCTCATTATATGCATAGACGTTTTGTTTTCATTTATCGCGCAGTAAAATCTAAATGAGTCGCGGAGACAACGCTGGTGCAATTGTCCCTAGTTGTGAGTATATTCTAACATGTATAGCGTATCTTTTCAAAAATCAAGACTGTTATGTTCCTTCTTTAGATGTTGTTCAAGAAGAAGGATCACACCGTGTATTAGTTTATCTCGCTATACCTGAATTACGTGTGGAAAGAAAATTCCGGAGTGGTCTGAAAAAGGTTCCAATCAATGCTGAAACAACAATATTGCATTTTGACACACAGTAATTAACATAAAAACTTTCTGATTTATCGTAATAATTTTATCTTTCATTTATTTAGCGCATTCACTTTTTCAATGACAGTTCAAACGAAAAAGTCCACCGATCTAATGTATATGTTAAAAATTGATCGATTAGCGGGAGAAATAGTTCCAGAAAGATGTACAATCAAGGTATTATTGTTTATTATCTCAACAAAATGTACTCTGAATCATAACACATTTTTAGTATCAACGCGGCGGTGTGTGGCTGACACTTTACAAAGAGGATACCATGTCTTGGATGAATCGTATTTGTGATCCACAATCTTTTGGTTTGAATATTCCAGAAGAAAAAGAAGATAATAAAGCAGACGATGATTTTTCATCTAAAAGTCCATTTCCTGCTCCTTCGGCACCACCTGCCTCTTCTCCGCAAGTTGTACCACCTTCATTTTAATTTAATTATGGACAAACATGGAATAACTAGTCATTAATGGACCGCAAATCCATCTACTCAAATGACAAAGAGTAATTTTCGTGCTTTTTTTGTTATTGTCGTTTTTCAAGGGAAAAACTTAAAAATAATCAGATATTCATTTACTCTTCTCCCTTACTTTTAGTTTGTTTTTCTCATCACAAAACAGGATTTCTCTTTCTTTTCCTATTCTCAAAACAATTTTTTTTTGTGATCTTCAGAATGTAATCATATGTATAACTTTAAGTTTCTTAGGATCTCTCGGTTACATTATATATTTGAACTGAAAATTTTATCCCAGATATTTAAGAGCATTTTCGACGTTTGTTTTGTCTG